CTTTCAGCGAAACTTTCACCAGGGTGTTTGTTCGATCGTTTGTTACACAAACAAAACTGAAATTCCCATAGTTAACTAATTACATCTTTCGCATAATTATTCGAGGATACTAAATTACAGAAATTGTTTAGCGATAAAGACGATATGCCGCTTACATTTATAGATGCGGCGACAATAGCAACTAACTTCCTGATTGTATTTCATGATGGAATTTCATGCACACAGTGAAACCAATGTAAACTTATGCTACATACAACTGCACACATATAGATGCATTTTGCGTTTATCCTGTACTAACGCACTTTATTCAGTTGAACTGTAAAAACGATACACAAAATATTTTGTGTGAAGTTGTGTGCAAAGAATCTTTGTAATTCATTTCTTTCAATTTGAAAGAAAAATAATACTCAAATAAACATTATTGAAATTTCTAGATTCGTGTTTGAAGATTCATTTCTTTTTTCGTTTATAAACGCATATTCCTCTACAGACACACTAATCATTTAATAAATCACATGTTTTTAAATGATTTATAGACATTTCTTATCAGCCAATTACGTTGCCGTGATGTAACAGTCATAGTGATTCTGCAGAATTTCATTTCAGTCCTCATGATAGGGAAGAAATTTAATGGAATTGATTTGATCATGGCACGGTCGATTGTGCAAGACTGGTGCATTTGAATAACCGCAATCACTTGTTAATGAAAATGATCTCTGAAGAAGGAAGAGATTCGTTGAAGTGAATAGAAAGGCAACTCAAATAACAAGTATACAACTGGCGTATACCGAGGAGCATCTCTGAATGAAAAAAAAACACGCCGAAGCTAGAAGCAGATGAAGTACAGCAGACAAACAAATCATAGGATGTACTATATATATATATATATATACATGTACGCATATTCATACACATATATATGGATGCAAACACGCATATATATATATATATATATATATATGCCTGATTGTGTATTTTAAATAACGTATATTTAGGTTGGGTGCATTAGGTAGTGTAATTATATCAGCACCAAAAGTGTGGCCTGTGCGACGATTTCAAATTTTGAACAAATAGCTTACGATCCGTTCTTTTTGAAATTCATGAATTCGTCTATTCTATTAATGTACCAAATATGGTTTCAGTTGTAGAAGGAATCTTTGGAGAGTAATGATCAGCTTTGTCCTGAAGTGTCATGAATTTATATATATATATATATATATATATATATATATATATATATATATATATATATATATATATATATATATGTCATTGAATACGACAAACAAAAGGTGCTTTTATTTTAGTTTTTTATACAATTTCTCATGCGATCTAATTTTTTTGTTTTCTTTTCGGATCATAAATAATAATGTATATACATATTTATTTCAGTGTTATTCCCAAAATGGCCGTTGGTTTTCATTCCCGATTTCTATAGATTTTCTCATATTTTACCATGGATCAGCGAGCATCAAAGCTTGAAACACACACACACACATCTTATTACAAAAAATTCAAAACCTCTAACCTTATAGTTACAAATAATAATTCACCTCCTAGAACAAAATTAATTAACACAAATATTATTTACGAATTTAAATGTCCATTATGGAATTGCATTCCTGATCAATCAAAATTCGTAAGTAATTATATAGGCCAAACTACATCATGTATGACACGCAGACTCACTCTACACCTTCCTGACCATACCTCAGTTAGATCTCATTTAAATATTCACTGAGACCTACCGGACACTATTCGGTACATACTTGTTGACAATACTAATATAATAGCGTCATCTACATGCAAAAAATGCTAAAAATAATGGAAGCCTTATTAATAAAAAAAACAAAAACAATGATTAATAATATTAACTTTGAACATGGACACAATATCTTGACTGTGTTTTGAAAAATGAAAACATTTTATAAAACATACATACAACAAACTATTTCTTATTTAACAATTAAAATATTAAATCCTTGAAAATGTCTAAATGTATAGCCGAAAGCGCTCGGATAAAAGAATATTCGGAAAGTTTTTTATATAATTTATCATGCGAAAAGAAAAAAACATTATTAGATCGCATGTGAAATTGTCTAAAAACTAAATAAAAGCACCTTGTCTGTCGTATTCAATGAAATGTGCATGAAAGAAGGATTGCTGCCTAAAACACACACACACACATATATATATATATATATATATATATATATATATATATATATATATATATATATATATATATATATGTGTGTGTGTATATGTGTGTGTTTCAAGCTTTCGGCATGCTGATGCATGGTAAAATTTGAGAAAATCTATAGAGATCGACAATAAAAACAAACGACCATGGAAATAACACTAAAATTAAGATGTATATAAATTATTATTTTATATCTATATAATTTTTGCGAATGTCGGTGTGTCAAACTTTTTCAACTTTACACCTAGAGGCCGTAGCTCAACATATAATGCCATGTTAGAATCAGGCCGACACCGATGGCAAATTAAAATCATTCCGGGCCGGAAATTTTGGATTCGCATGTTTTCATTACTCGATTGCTTTTCGGCGGTATTATGCATATTTTTTGCGACGAATTCCTTTGTAAAAAAGAAATAAACAATCGAAGTAGCAAAAGTGAGCATTTCTCTTTTATTCACATATTTTATTTGCATTTACTCTCGACATGGAACAACAAGACAGCATAGTAGCTTCAGTTTCCATTACGATTCCGGAATTTATGCAAACAACTTCAAATGTCTGGTTTGCAATATGGGAATACAATTTACTTTGCGTAAAATTACTAAAACAAAAAAAAAATATTACCATATGCTATCATGTTAACGGCCAGACACCATATCAAAATTAATGTCTTCTACACTCTCTTTAAAGGAGTTAAAAATACTGGAAGAGGCAATAATTTAGATGCACGAGAGAACAAAACCGAAAATGTTCGCTAACCTTATTTCAAGTACAAAAATGACTGGCACACCTTCAGAATATCTCCGGGAATTACGTTGTACAGAAACTGAATTATGATTTGGCGACGAACTTGTCCGCCATTGTTTTATACAAGCATTACCACCAAATATTTCTCCAGATTGTTGTTGCTGCTAAAAGTCTCTCATTATCCGAGCTAGGCACACTAGTGGATGAAATAATTCCTTTTTAAAAACCGAACTTTATTTAAAACGCAAATACCGTAACACCACACAGAACGAAACTTGCTTCCCTCTTGACAGATACTCCATGTTATTATTCACTCAAATCCTTCTACGAACACCAATAAAACCTACTCTGTAGAGGCCATATCTACCTTATTCCAAGTCGAGGACATGCAAGCTATAGTATAAATGGCCTGATAAACTTCATGTAAAATAAAACCCAGCTCAAGAACTTTTCCCCCATAATGCAGCCTCAACAAGAACCCGAAAACGAACGCCTGTCGGAAAACTACTCGAGCGAGTTGCTATGGTGACCATGAACTCGGAGCTTTTCAAGGCTGTTACGTATGTAGCCCGTCTCAATTTGACTTCTTCATTCATACTGGAACATATGTAACTATAATTCCAACAAACTTCGCTCGAGGACAGTATCTCAACTCTACTCCTCTTCGTATATCGCTGACCACCGGCGATAATATTCCTTGTCAGAGCGAAACCTATATTGGCATAGACATCGCTGGGCTGCGACGCTTATTCACATGGGCAGTAGTCGTAGTAGACACTTTCAATCCATTACTAGAAGCAGACTTCCTTAGACATGACGCTCTAATTATAGACTGCACTACTGGAAAATTTAATGACAACAAAACGGAACACTACACAGAAAGCAGGCAAGTCGAATGAACTACTCAACTGATTACTCTTAATAATTTTGCTCAGCGACATAAGCCAGTTCAGTCAGCCTACTCTGCTCGTGCCACGCAGAGAAAGACCCAATACATATTGAACAAGAATCATGGCACTGGTAATAGCAACCCATGTTCTGCTAAAACACGGCAGTTACCAGAAGAAAAATACAAAATTGCAAAACAAGTATTCACTGCACTTACGAAACACTCGTCAGACCCTCAAAATCATAATGGGCATCACAACTAATCTTATTACCCAAATCAAGGCCAGCTCAATACAGACCTTTTGGTGATTATATATATTTAAACCTCTTAACTAAAACTGATAAGTATACCCTTCCCAATATCAACAGCTTAGGATCCAAGCTCCATAATAGATATGTGTTCTCTAAGACAGACTTGCTACATTCGTATCATCAGATACCGATGAGTGACGAGGACATCGATAAAACCACCGTCATTACCTCCTTTAATCCTGTTTGAATATTTATCCATGTCTTTCGGCCTACGTAAGTGTATTGCTACATCTTCATGGACATAGACTATATCTTTGTTTATATATATGATATTTTAGTATCCGCAGGAACACAGACCTAACATTACAAACATCTACAGACAGTTCCATCCAAAGTTAAAAAAAAACAACCTACACATTTCTCTGGATAAATGTGAGTTCTTCAAAGACAACATAAACGTCTTAATATCAGCTCTAAAGACATAATCTTAACTAATCAGAAAATTCAACAAATTCAAGACTTCCCAGAACCAAAAGACTATAATTCCCTACGCAGATTTCTTGGATTATTAATTTGTACAGAAAAATAATTCTAAAATCTGTTGAAATATTATTAACCTTAACATAACTCATCAGATACAACCAAACTGCAAAATCAGTACAAATAAAGTCCGCACAAATAGAAGCATTTCAGAACATTAAGGACATTCTAGCAGGTCATCCCATAAGTTCTGTCCGAATTTTACTTTTTTTTAAAATGAATGAAATTTAAAGAGTATTTTATAATGTCTAATGGAGTTGAACTTTATTTTTATGTTTAGGTGCATTTAAACTGATCAAATTTTATTTCAGAGAACAATAAAATTAAATTTTGCTTGATTGAAACCCGGCTAACATGGAAGTACCCAAGATTCATTTGAGGCACATATTGCTTTATGAGTTCAAGAAAGGAAACTCAGGAGCCGAAGCGGCTAGAAACATTCACTCAGTTTATGGAGAGGAATGTGTGAATGAAAGAATTTGCAGAAGATGGTTTGCAAAATTCAGAGGTGGAGATTGCACCCTTGAAGATGAAGATCGAACCGGACGTCCAGTTGAGTTTGATGAAAAGCTTCTTGAAGCAGCCATTGAAAAAAATCCTGCTTTATCAGTTGAGGAATTGGCAGTAGTTCTCAGTTCAAACCATACAACTGTTCATCGTCATCATCAACAACTTGGAAAAGTTTCTAAACTTGGAAAATGGGTGCCTCATGAATTGTCTGAAAACAACCTCAAATCGCGAGTTGACAACTGCGCTTCTCTCCATTTTCGCCAACTTGTTTCACCTTTTTTGGATAGACTTGTGACTGGCGACGAAAATGGATCTTTTATCGAAATGTTAAGCGTCGTAGACAGTTGCTTGGTAAAGGGGAAGGACCCCAGCCACAGCCGAGAAGGGAACTTCATGGGCAAAATGTTCTTCTTTTAATCTGGTGGGATCGCCAAGGAATAATCCACTTTGAATTCTTACCACCTAATGCAACAATTAATGTTCAAATATACTGTCAGCAATTAGAGCGTTTAAACCAAGCTTGGAGGAAAAAAGACCCGCTCCTGAGTGAATCGAAAAGGGGTGATGTTTCATCAGGACAATGCGCGACCCCACAGCAAGAATCACGTCTCAAAAGATCGAAGAAATTGTTTGGGAAAATTTTCATCCACCTTATTCTCCCGATCTTTGCTCCTTCAGACTACCGTTTGTTTCATAGCTTACAGAATCATTTGGAAGAAACAGCTTTTGTAACACAGGAAGAGGTTAAAACTGACATTTGTGAGTTCTTCGAATCAAAGCCAAAAGAATTTTACAGTAATAGAATTATTAAGCTTGTTAATAGATGGAAGGACGTCATAGATAATCAGGGAAAATACATTGTTGATTGAATCTGTAATTAAATGTAATATTTGGTCACTTGTTTTTTTATTCAAAATTCGGACAGAACTTATGGGATGACCTGATAGTAGAAATTACAGCATTAACATCAGAGCCATTCAATATCATCTGTGACGCAGGAGCAGCACTACGTCAGATTATAGATGACGTCCCGATCCCCGTAGGCTACCGCTAAAAAATAAATAAATAAACTAATGGACATACAAAAGAAATTATCAATATTTGATAGTAAACTTTTAGCAGGTTACCAAGCCATACTACGCTTCAGACAACACATAGAAGGTAAACAGGCTACTTTGTTTACTGGTCACAAAACCTTAACATTAGCATTTAAAAACTTTACACCCCTCAAATCGGACATACAATAAAGACATCTTTCAATCATTGCTGAATATATCAAAGTAGAAGAGAGAACACTTGTCGATTGTCTTTCACGACCAGCCTTATCAGTCAAAATTGACACATGCTACCTATCTCCGATTATGCACAACGAGATAAAGATGAAGAGATTCCTAAATACATGGATAACCTTAAGCCATATATCTATGACCATTCAAACCTTTTCTTTGACACAACATCTACACCAAGTCATTTATTTCAGAATCTCTTCGTAAACATATGTTTGATACATTTAACAACATCTCACATCCTGGTCCTAATTTAAAAAGCAATGTTGACAAAGTCAAGACACTTCCGGCCTAACACTGAAAAATATACGCGAAATTGGCAGAATCTGTCAACGAAACAAAATTTCTAGACATACTAAAAAACAAATTACTCCTTTTTCACTACCATCTGGACGGTTCGAAACAGTCGCTATTGACATCATCGGGCCGAGATTACGAGAAAGCGCACATGATGGCATATACCCATCACCAGCAAAATTTATTCTTAGCCGCATTGATAAAACAACGAGATGGATAGAAGCTACCCCTCTTCTAGACATCCAGCAAGTACAGTAGCCATAGCATTCCTCAACACTTGGATAACTCCCTTTGTCATCAAGGACAGAGTTAGCCTGACTGAAAGCGAATTATTCAAACACTGTCTGCTATTATAGGATTCCACAGACTCCGTACGAGCAAATACGAAACCCGAAAACGTGGAATAATAGAGTGCCTACATAGAATTCTAGAAGCAGTCACCATGGCAAGAAAACATAACTGGATAAACGCTCTACCAATAGTTTTTCTTAGCATGAGAAATGTACCCAATGAAGATAATATTTCACCTGCCATCGCTGTCACTATCATTCCCAAAGCTGTTGATAGAACATAACAGTTCCACAGTTACCAAAGAAAATATTAAACAATTTTCTGAAGTCATGACTAAGCTGAACCTCTCACTCCTTTCTGAAGGACGGTTACACTCAGCTAAGCAATCTTTCATCCCGCAAAACATATGTACTTAAACCCATGCTCTGTTGAAAACATACAGATTTAGGAAAAATCCCGGAACTTTTTAAACTGGAACAGAGTTATTATCAGAGATGAAAAATATTTGATAATAGAGAATTCCACATGAAAACACCTCACAGTCTGAGAGATTAAAACCTGTGACCTTATTACAATACCACAGAAAGAAACATCCATTAAAATCACCAGCTGAACAACCGAAGCAAACTCCAGAGTACTCCAAACACCCTCCCTTATATAAAACAATAGCTACACATTCCTGGATGACTATTTTTACTTCTAGTAAGCATCCATCACTACCGATTAGCTCCGCGAATTTGGTGGGGGTGGGATGGGGGGAAATTATTAAAATAAAGATAAAATATAAAATAATAATAATAATGGAAATTATAAATAAAATAAATTAAACAATAATAATTAAATCTTGTTTAAAATAAATTAAGTAAAAAATGAAAATAATAAAAAGTTCTCCCAACATGCAACAAAAAAAACTGTTCGTCGGAAATACGGACATCCCGCCAGTCTCTTGCCCAACAAACTTCTAACTTCTCTTTCTGTGACATGGCGTGTAATAATACGAAGTAACTTCTTCCTTTCGTTACATGCACTATGAAACATGTATAACCAAAATTTCACACACTAGTACACATAAAAAATAATCAAATTGTATGATATGAATGTACAATTTACCATACTTTCACTGTTATCATTTGTCTGTTTTAATTCTGCAATATATGTTTTTATTTCCCGTGACACGAAGTTATTTCTGTTGGTATGATATGATTGACCCGACAGAGTTTTAAGGCCTAAATTGTATTCCAATTATTTAAAATATTATCATAGTAGATTCTAATGTTTCTTTTACGCAAACGGAATGTTGCCGAGAAAATTCATGTGCTAATTTTCCGCCAGTCTTCAGCTGTCCAGGTTTCATGATCCTTAGCAAATGTCAGACGCTTGGATTTGATAGTTATGTTTTGTGAGTCGGTTTGAATGATTTCAGGCCAAATTCAAATCTTAATATATCGTAACTGTCACAGAACTGACATTTACACCATTTTTAAGCCGAACAGAATGTAACTTATGGGGCTCTTATAGCAATGCACTTTATCAAATAGTCACTAGTTTTCCTGGGATGACCACTACTCCGCTTGTCGGTAAATGACCCTGACTTTTGGAAATTCAAACTAGCACTGTGCATGGCTGTTTTGCTACAACCGACTTTTACACTAATTTCACATTCAGAATAGCTTACATTGCGTAGAAACACAGTTTGTATCTTTCGTGCAGGTGAAATTGAAGACTGAGTGAAATATCCTCCACAAACACTACCACAATTGTTGCTAATTTGGCAATGACAAAAAAATAATCATAAATCATGTGTGAATTACGACTCATGCAATAAGTAGAAGCTA